GCGGGCCAAACAAAACGGCTCGGCGGGCTGCATTTCGTCCCCGGGCCTTAAGTTTGACACGTATGATCTAGGTGCTTAAGACTTAACAATGACATGCATTGTCTCATACGCATACGCATACGCATGAGATCCAAAAAAAATGTAGTTTTACAGACACATTTTCAACAACATTTGTTATGACAAAAAATTTATTCTGTGCTAATATCCGCCGTTTGTCTCGTACTAATACCCACGTAGTCACTGGAAAAACACTGCAACCTGACCTTATATGTGCTTACCTGTGATGGGGAGGTGGTACTTATTATCTGTTCTTCGGTTAAGTGAGTATGACCTTGATGATTGCATACACACTCTCTGTTAGGCCAGATAATCTCACAGGTGGCGCTAGTTCTGAGAGCAACTGGCCCCTACTCGTATTTTTGTACACAATAAGCAATTGGCAAAACGTTACTTACCAATAGCTTTAGTGTAGTGCCGGGCTCCTAGCAAAAGCTCTGGAGCTCTGTACCAGAATGTCACAACCACCGGATCCAGGTCAGCAAGGGGTTTAAGAGGGGAGTTGAACAGTCTGGCAAAACCCATGTCAGCTTTAGGGGAAGAAAGAAAAGAAAGAATCATTTCTAGGTAGTTTTGGGAATAGGTCAATTTACCTTATCTTTTACTTCAGTCCATTTTAACTGGAGTATTTTACTTCGCTACAATGGAAAATAACCCGTTACTGAATACAAAACTACCGTAATTACCAGACTATTGAGCGCATCTTAATATAACTTAACATACGCTACTAGTACAACACACGTTTTTTTCCGAACAGTGCCTGTAACACAGCTGGTTACACGTTAGCTCTTTCATGCTTCGGTGCCCCGATTGTAGTTGGAATGCACAGGGGAGACTTAGTGATCTGCTCCAGGGCCGAAGCTAACATTAGCTCCGGGGCTAACTTCTTTCACTTCTATTATAACACACGGTAGCCCACCAGAAAAGTCACTGATCGCTAGCGGTATGAACTTCGTTAGCCTGTAAAAATCCATAAATTAGCCGCATCATTGTTTAAGCCGCAGGGTTCAAAGCGCGTGAAAAAAGTAGCGGCGCACAGTCCGGAAATTACGGTAAATGCGGGAAAAAACAATATGCATTAACTGAAAGAAAGTCGTGTCGACATGCGTGTGCGGATTTCACCGCTATTTTAATGTAGCCAGATAACGGTAAATAAGGGACAAGCTCTAGTCTGTCATTCGATGATGGCTGGTGCAAAACAAAAAAAAAAACAGGTTTTCTCCTTCTGCTCCGCAGGAGCCTTCTGCCAATCAGAAGACTCAGAAAGAGTTAAAGGAAATCCTTGGCCAACGCATATCTCAGCCAGCTCTTCGTTGTCAAATGCAAACGAGTCAAAAACTTCACCGTGCGATGCAGATTGTAACTTTTTGTAACTAAGTAACTTTTACTCAAAGTAAATTTTCAATTAAGTTTTTTTTTACTTTTACTTGAGTAGAATTTAAACAAAGTAAAGATACATTGACTTCATTACATTTTATTTAGTACTTTTTACCTCTGCCGTTAACAATATCGATACTCGAATATGTGATTTTACCCAATAAAACACATATTAAACACATACTTTAATATGTATCTTTCACAATAAATTGGTCATACCAAACGACATTACTTAATTTTGTACACAATGGTACGTAAAAAAATGAAATACTATCGAGAACCTGATGGTATATATTTTATCTGTACAAACCACTGTATGAGTTGCCGCCACCTAGTGACCGGAGGCTTGTTTATCGTTCTGTCCGGTGCGCCATATTCACCACTATTTGAGACGTACTGCCGTACAAGATGTGGAAGTGACACATGCTGGTTTTTTTTTTTCATTTGTTGATTAACACTGATACTTCACGAGGGTATTCAATACTCAAACGATACTCATATGAATACCACAGAATCAATACTCCCATCACTAGTGGGCATTTAGGGGACTACATACACAGTGTTATAGGGCATTCGGAAAACGTCTCCCAATCGCAGATTGCATTCTACTTGTAGTCCTTTTCGGACGGTGCAATATAATGTTGACCATCTCCTAGCGGTCAAAGTCCCTTGACCAGAAGACTAAAATGAAATCACCTGCCACGGTTAGTGGGTGTTCACCGTTTAAAAATAGACTCTCGCCCGAGGACTATCGCCCTTCAGCTGCCCCACAGACTGACCAGCGCTTATGCAACGCCATTGAACTTTGCTGTCAGTTGCACAAAGCGCTGTTGCTGTCACACATTCACACTGATCCACAGTCATAATTTAACACCGCCACGCTGAGAGTTGGCAAGTTGGCAGTAAGTAACTATTTATAGGCAGGTAGGAAGTGGTTGCAACTTGACTTACCTATTTTTACTCTTCCTCTTTCAGGTCCTTCTCCCATGACAAGAATGTTTGCTGGTTTCTAAAAAAAAAACAAAAAACATAGACAATCATTGTTATCACGATTATTAGTATTAGAGATGACCGACAATATCTCGCCGATCGATATTATGATATATATATATTATCGGCTCAATATCAGCATTAACAATGTAATATTGGTAATAATCGTTACTGGTTTTTACAGACAATGCTAATTTGTGGAATAGCTTAGCCTTTAGCGGCACATTACAATACAAGTAGGTAATGTGTTTTTTCCACGATAGGAGATATGTGATACCTAAAAATAGTTGGGGAAAAACAGCTGCATGTATCGGTACTGGTTGATATCTGAATCGGAAATTGTTTGGACAATATCAGCATATCCGATATCGGCAAAAAGCTAATATAGTACATCCCTAATTATTATATTTGTCATAACATTAATTGCAATTTATTTATGGGTCGCATGGTGAAGATGGTTAGAGTTTTAGCATTACAGGAAGAAGTTAATGCAGGCGTGGGCAAACTTTCTGACTTGCGGGCCACAACTTAAAATTGAATAGTGGGGCCGGGTCAGGAGCAGGTAGATGGAGCCCTCATGTTAACTAAGGTAAATGACATGAAAAAGTCATGCATAAAGGCTAAAATGCTAAAATGCGATATTATCGGCCCGATATTAGCATAATTATGTGACATCGGTAAGAATTATTATTGGTTTTTACTGACAATGCTAATTTGTGGAATAGCTTTGCCTTAGTGGGGCATTCCGATACAGGGGATGATACACAATGGTAAACAACAACGTAAAAGTCATGCATAAAGGCTAAAATGCTAAAATGCTAAAATGCGATATTATCGGCCCGATATTAGCATAATTATGTGACATCGGTAAGAATTGTTATTGGTTTTTACTGACAATGCTAATTTGTGGAATAGCTTTGCCTTTAGTGGGGCATTCCGATACAGGGGACGATACACAATGGTAAACAACAACGTAAAAGTCATGCATAAAGGCTAAAATGCGATATTATCGGCCCGATATTAGCATAATTATGTGACATCGGTAA